CTGAAGGTGCTGGGACATTTTGCTCCCCTGGGATAGAGGCCTGGAAGGACATGGTCCTTGCAGCTGCTAGCACCTTCACATGACTGGAAGGGAGAGACTGCGAAGATGGGTCAGTGGAGAAAGGACAACTGAAGAGAAACTAGAAGTTAGTGATGACAGTTAGGCCTCTGACTCCAGCCATACCTGAGTTTCAACCTTCTCAGCAACAAGGGATCCCATTCTTTTACTTTCAGGGATACCTTTTGGGGCTACGGACTCCAGAATGAGTAGGTTGTGAGAATTAAGTCCAACATCCTCAAAGGTCCCCAGAGACCAGAAATCTTGTGGCAGGGTTGGGACTCGAACTCAAGTCTCTTTGTTTGTATTCCAGAGCTCTTGCCACCAAACACGGTCCTCTTTCTGGAATTACTGCTCATCAGCTCTGAGACTAATAACACCAAGTAAATAAAATGAAAGTAAGGTAAACCCACTGAGATTTCCCTGGGGGGCTGAGGAGGAAGATGGAACCCTTGCAGGGGATTAGGTAGGAGCGCAGACCCATGCGCCCAGGACAGATGCGTTACCTGCCATAAAGTGTGCACCCAGGTGTCTCTGAGGGGCACTTAGAAGAGTGGAGGGGGAGGGAAAGGTGCCACTCATTGGTCACCAGGGGCTCATCACCAGCCTAGGCTGGCCTGACTGTGGTTGGGATTTGGTGGAAATGACAGAAGTCATGGTTATTCATTAGGAATCTTTTTGTGGCAAATGAAAGAAAACCTATCTCAAATTGGCCTAACCGAAAAAAAAAAAAAAAAAGATCAGGGAGTAATGGCCTCACACACTTTGGAGCTGGGTGCTTATACAAGCTATTAGGATTCAATTTTCCAATTTCCATTTCTGTCGATTCTGCTTTCCTCTCTGGAGCCTTCGTTCTCAGGCAGGCTCCCTCCAATGGGAGCCTGCAAAAGCGCTAGGTCTTATGGGCTTCACACCCTCAGTGGACAAAGCAATTTCTCTCCTCTTAGTTCCACCAAAAGTCTCAGGGCTGTGTCTCATTGGCCTGAATTGGATCACATGCCCTTCTATCAACCCATGATGGTGGCCAGAGGGTGGGATATAATGATTGGCCAGTCCCGGGTCACATGCACATCTAAGTCAGTCCCACCTGAGCCACAGAGACATTTCAAACCCAGATGGCCTCACTGGAAGAAGGAGGCATGGATATTGGTAAGGAAAAACAAAAGAAGTTCTCTATAAATGTTAAAGAGTGGCTAGAAAAATGCTAATAATAACATTTTTTAAAGGATCTAAAGTCAAATACATTTGGGGAATACTAGGTCAGACAAAGAGGAAACAAAGATGTGTCACAGGATCCCTCAGAGCCATGAATCCATTAAAAGTGGATTCAGTGGGGAGGGTATAACTCAAGTGGTAGAGTGCATGCTCAGCATACACCAGGTCCTGGGTTCAAAAATAAATAAGGAAACCTGATTACCTCTCACCACTCCCCCCAAAAAACCCCAAATAAAATAAAAGCGCATTCAACTCTGCCAGGAGGGTTTAGAGAACATGATTTTCCCAGATTCTCCTGATGGCAGAATCCTTTCTTGAGAAGCTTCCTCCGGGACTCATGGGCCATACAGTGCATTTTGGGGAAAACAGCACTGAACACCACAAACAGCCCAAGCTCTTGTAGCAGGTACTGTGAATGCCTCGTCCATAGCCCTCCTCACCATATCAGGGCACACTGACCCGCGCGCACCTGCTGGTGCCTGCCTTCCTCTGCTCCAGGCTTGCTGGGGCCACCAGAGCCCACTGTGCCCATGTGAGTGACTGGCCAGAAGTTCTGAAGAATTAGCAGCGCCCCCCCCTGCCCTCCAGAGCAGCCCTCAAATACTGAGACAGGCTGTACAGATACCCCAGCTCCCTCCCCAGGCAGGCTCACACCCACCTGCTCCATGCAGCTCCCGGCATGCCCTAGGCATGCCCACAGTTGCCCACAGAGGTAACTTGCTCTGTGACGCACCCTTTGTTGGCTGCCTTCTCTTTCCTATCTCAATCCCCTGCTTGTGTTTTTGGGATCATCTCCCAAATAAATTACTTGCACTGTGACCCTTGTCTCAAGGACGGCTTCTGAGAGACCACAAAGCAAGAGGGCTGTTACCTCCTTTAAAAGCACCCAATTGTCTCTCCCAGCAATTCCAGAAAACATTCCTTACACTTATCATTAAATCTACCTTTCCTCCAACAACAGACTTCACGAAAAAATCTATTTCTGCTCCCTAGATCCCACCTGCAGGGATTCTCCCTGACCACCCCACTGTGCTCAGAACCCCAGTCTCAGCCCAGTAGACTTCACTGCATTGACTGTCTGTCCTGCCTGGCTCATCGACTGGTAGAAGCAAAGTCACACCCTCTTGTTGGTGCAAGAGACACGAATGGGAAGCTGCTTAGTGGCTCAGGGGATGCCCCCACCCTGCATCCACCAAGGCAAGGACCAGAGTCACCTTGGACTTCCTCAAGCCTCACAGCCCACAGCCAACCCATCACCACATCCCTTACTTCTGCCTCCCATGTCCCTTGCCCCTGCCACCT